CTGACGTCATGATGGAATAAACAGCAAACGACAGCACATCTGGTGAATGTTCCTGCTCAAAACATTTTGGCACACTTGGGATTGGGCAAATCAGAAGCAGCTGCTTTGCCATCCTTTTTTTATACATATATACATAATATTTTATTAATTTTCTGTTATTACCATTCCTTGGTGCTTAATGAACCACGTGTGGTCTGGGTTAGTTTACTATATTTAGTAATACCAGTTAAGTTCTTATTCTCTATCCCGTTTTTCCAGCCACTGATAGAATAGGTTCCATGTTTGAAAATAAACTGTATCTTTTTTTTTCCTCTTTATTCTCAGTTGCTTTACCGTCCTATGTGAGCGTGAGATAGTAAACTTCATTTCAACCAAGGAGGTCTTGGCAGTAACTTGCTGAACGTGCTAGTTGCAGAAACCTGAAGGGGGTTTTAATTCTCCGCTTTAAAAACAAACCGTGTTTTACTGACTACTATTTAGACTTTGGTACCTACTCCCAAAGGGCTTGTGTTTCCTATGGCTTCAACTGTTGGAAGTCACAAAGAAGAGGGAGTCAAGCTATTCTCCAAGGCGCCTGAAGGCAGGAGAAGAAGCAACAGATGGAAACTAACCAAGGAGAGAAGCAACCTAGAACTAAGGAGAAACTTCCTGACGGTTAGAACAATTAACCAGTGGAACAACCTGCCTCCAGAAGCGGTGAATGCTCCAACACTGGAAGTTTTTAAGAAGAAACTGGACAGCCATTTCTTTGAAATGGTATAGGGTCTCCTGCCTGAGCAGGGGGTTGGACTAGAAGACCTCCGAGGTACCTTCCAACTTTGTTATTCTGTTTCACAAGGCCTCAGAGCTTTGCTTCAGGCCCATGGTTAAGCTGCAGTTGCCTTCAATGTGGGGGTGCAACTGAGCTGCTGGCGCTGACCTCCAGGGATCAGCAGGATGGCATGAGGTCTTCTTGGAGAATAACTATCCCCAACAAAACAAGCAATAAAAAAAAAGATGTTGAGACTTTGGAAAGAGTACAGAGAAGAGCAACAAAGATGATTAGGGGACTGGAGGCTAAAACATATAAGGAACGGTTGCTGGAATTGGGTATGTCTAGTTTAACGAAGAGAAGGACGAGGGGGGACATGATAGCCGTCTTCCAGTATCTCAGGGGCTGCCCCAAAGAAGAGGNGCTATTAGTCATCTGGAATCACCTTTGGCTAGGTGGGTGGCATAAAAGTTTGACAAATCAATCGGAGGAAAGGAACAAGACACTGTTCAATAAATTAAGATGACCTTCAAAAAATACGCCATCGGCTTTTCTTAGAACAAGCTTGTAGCTCTAAAGGCATACCCACAAATCAGATCAATTACAATTCTTGAATCTCAGTCAGCGGGTCTAATTATCCACGAAGACCGAGAATGGGCTTATTTCAAGTCTACGAGAGATTGGAATTAGCTGACATGTGTCATCCTTGGCAGGTCACTAAAGTCAGAAGGAGCTAAAAGTGCCAAATCTGGACTCGCTTGAAAATCACTCTAATTCCTGATCAGAGGGGCTGATACTGTTTAGTCACTGTTTAGATTACTGTAAGTTTTACATACTGGGATTAAGAGATGTTAAACGTCTGTGGAGATTCTCAGTCACGAAAAAGCACCTTCGGGACACTGAGATGTTAGTTTTACTTGGATATAGAATACGTGAGCAGATTCTTGTTGGAGCGTATTAATTCTCCACCCGAGAAAAATTCAGAACTACTGTGAGAATATACTGCTACCCTTGTCAAATACACAGAGATTTTATAATCTTAATTAACAGAAGCCTCGGATTTCCCCTGCATTTTCCTTCAATGTAGTTAACATAAAGCAGTTTAAACCAATGGAGAAATTACTTGGCCTTCATTCTGCATTAAATCAATGGAGAGGAAAGGAACACGGTCAGATTAAGTAATGTTTCTGCTTCCAATCGTCATTCACGTCGGTAACTCTGGGTTGCACACTTGTTGCTCCCAGGCCTAGATCGGGGAGACTTTAGTCACTCCTGTCCTGGTCACCTCCCACGTGGACTACAGGTAGTTCTCGACTTACAACCGTTCATTTAGTGACCGTTCAAAGTTACAACGGCGCTGAAAAAAGGGACTTAGGACCGTTCGTCACACTTACAACCATTGCAGCATCCCTATGGTCATGTGATCAAAATTCAGATGCTTGGCAACTGACTCGTATTTACGACGGTATACTGTACAGGGTCATGTGATCCCCTTTTGCGACCTTCTGACTAGCAAAGTCAATGGGGAAACCCAGATTCCCTTAACCACCTTGTTACTAACTTAACAACTGCAGTGATTCATTTAACAACCGTGGGAAGAAAGATCCTAAAATGGGGCAAAACTCAATGACTGTCTCGCTTAGCGACAGGAACTGGGAAATATAGGGAGTCCTCAACTTACAGCTATTTAGGGACTATTCGAAGTTACATTACTAAAAAAAAATGTGACTCGCGACCAGTCCTCGCACATATGACCGTCGTAGCATTCCAACTGTCACGTGACCAGATTTGGGGAGCCTGGCAACCAGCACGTATTTAAAATGGATGCAGCATCCTGGGTGTGTGTGTGTGTCACGTGACTGCCACTTGCAGCCTTCCCAGCTGGCTTCCAACNCCGGTCATAAGTCGAGGACTAAACCAGTCGTAAGTCGAGGACTAAACCGGTCGTAAGTCGAGGACTACCCAACCGGTCGTAAGTCGAGGACTTTCCCTGCCCGGGAGCGCCATGCATGCGTGGTTCCGCCCCCTGCGCCAGCCGAGGCGTAGCTGGGAAGCGGCAGAGACGGAGCAGGCCGACCACCAGCTGGCCCAGCTCAAGGGAGGTAAGGCACCCACCGGAAAAGGGGAAAAAAATGGCGAACAAAAAAAATGGCGGACAGCCTTGCTTGGCGACCCCCATGAAATGGTCGATCGACCCCAAATGGGGTCCCGACCCACAGGTTGAGAACCACTGCCTTAAATCTTCCTTGGAACATCCCATTCCTTCCCTTCCTTCTTCCACCCTTCCTTTTTTTTTCTATACAGAAAACTCAGATTTATGGAAGGTAGAAGGAAGCTAGTGGAGGAACTAACTTATCGAGTTTTCTGTCTTTTCTGAGGCAAAACCTTAAAATACAGGCACACATAAGACGTCGGTATTTTTACTGGTATAAATTTGTGCCAAGGTTTTTAGCAACAAGAGACAACAGAGAGACCTTACGAAAAGAAATATTCCATTAAAAAAAACATTAAGGTCTAGTGAAAGAGGGGAGGGGAGGAAAAAAAACACCCCTATTTCTTTACTTCCAAGCCTTTTGATTTTTATGGATTCACTTTATCCTCTGCGGTTCCAATCTCTGTTTTCCATAGCTTCCTTCCTTCAATTTAATTTCTCCCTCCTTCAAAATAAAAAAGATGAAAGTGACGCCCTCAAGGCAATTTATTTCGTTCTCCTCCCCGAAATGTTTAGCCACACTGTGGCACAACTGGGGGACAATTGATGAGTTTGTCAAAAATATTAACAGCCTCACAGGCGCTATCAAATAGCGACCTTAAAAAAAAAAAAAATCCAGCTGTTGAGAACGATTAAAACAGCTTCCTTTTCCCTCCGCTATATCGTCTCCCTTTTGCTCAAGTCCAATTCATAAACGTGCTTTATAAAAAAGCTAAGATCATGCAATTGTTTTGCATTGTTTCTTCGCTCTTTGGGCAACATGGCTAATATAATAATAATAATAATAATAATAATAATAATAATAATAATAATAATAATAATAATAATAATAATAATAATAATAATAATAATAATAATAATAATAATAATAATAATAATAATAATAATAAAAAAGTTGGAAGGGACCTTGGAGGTCATCGAGTCCAACCCCCTGCTCAGGCAGGAACCCTACACCATTTCAGAAAACGGCTGTCCAGTCTCTTCTTAAAAACTTCCAGTGTTGGAGCATTCACCGCTTCTGGAGGCAGGTTGTTCCACTGGTTAATTGTTCTAACTGTCAGGAAGTTTCTCCTTAGTTCTAGATTGCTTCTCTCCTTGATCAGTTTCCACCCATTGCTCTTTGTCCTGCCTTCAGGCGCCTTGGAGAATAGCTTGACTCCCTCTTCTTTGGGGCAGACCCTGAGATACTGGGAGACTGCTATTATGTCCCCCCTTATCCTTCTCTTCATTAAACTAGACATACCCAATTCCAGCAACCGTTCCTTATAGGCCAGTGGTTCTCAACCTGTGGGTCGGGACCCCATTTGGGGTCGATCGACCATTTCATGGGGGTCGCCAAGCAAGGCTGTCCGCCATTTTTTTTGTCCGCCATTTTTTTTGTCCGCCATTTTTTTTCCCTTTTCCGGCGGGTGCCTTACCTCCCTTGGGCTGGGCCAGCTGGTGGTCGGCCTGCTCCGTCTCTGCCGCTTGCCACATACACCTCGGCTGGTGCAGGGGGCGAAACCACGCATGTGCGGTGCTCCCGGGCAGGGAAAGTCCTCGACTTACGACCGGTTGGGTAGTCCTCGACTTACGACCGGTTTAGTCCTCAACTTACGACCGGGTTAGTCCTCGACTTACAACCGGTTGGGGTCGCGGCATTAAAAAGGTTGAGAACCACTGTTATAGGCTTTAGCCTCCAGTCCCCTGATCATCTTTGTTGCTCTTCTCTGTACTCTTTCCAGAGTCTCAGCATCTTTTTTACATCGTGGTGACCAAAACTGGATGCAGTAAAGACTGCTCAAGGACTGGATCCACTTCCAGCTTCCCAATCTGCTAGCGCAGCGTTTCTCAAGCTCAGCAACTTTTGAAGAGGTGCGGACTTCAACTCCCAGAATTTCCCCAGTCAGCAACAACAACAACAACAAAATCACATTTTTAACCCAACTGATTTGGGTGGAGTGGGGGGATGGGTGGGGATGGAGGCCTGACCTATTCCATTGGCATGCTGCACAGCGCAATTAGATAACACAACGAGCAGGTAAATGAGCCAGTTACCTTGAAAGTTTTCAGAATTGGGCAACTTCACTCCGCAAATAAAATAATCCTCTTGATCGTTCTGTGAAGAGTAGAAAGAGAGGTTGCATCCGGGCCACGTTTGCTGATAAAACTCCCGATTCTGATAGCAAGCTAACATACTTACACTACATGCCTATATACATGCATGGATATATGTGTGTAAAGTAGCTTCCCCCTGTCTGGGTCTGGGGGTGACTCCGTTTCCTAGCCGAGGGAGCCAGCATTGTCTGAAGATGCTTCTGTGGGCATGGGGCCAGCATGGCTCATGGAAAACGCTGTGACCTTCCCAACAAAATGTTACCTATTTATCTACTCGCACTTACTTGCTTTCAAACTGCTGGGGGGGGGGGCAGGAGCTGAGGCAAGGAATGGGAGCTCACCCCATTGCGCGGCACTCGGGTCTCAAACTTCACAAGCCCAGCGTCTTTAACCACTGACCCATCGCATGCATGCGTCTGTCTGCCTGCCTGCCTGCCTATCTACTATCCATCCATCCGTCCGTCCGTCCGTCCGTGTGTCTATCTGTCTATCTATCTACCACCCATCATCTACCTACCTACCTACCTACCTACCTACCTACCTACCTACCTACCTACCTACTATCTATCTATCTATCTATCTATCTATCTATCTATCTATCTATCTATCTATCTATCTATCTATCTATCTATCTATCTACCTACCTACCTACCTAACCTACCTACCCTCTATCTATCTATCTATCTATCTATCTATCTATCTATCTATCTATCT